TTTTCCAGCAGTCCCTCCCACCCCTGCTCCCAGCAGTGGGGTCACGGATGGGGTCAGGGCAGCCCTCCCACCAGCTGCCATGGTAAGCCGACTGCAGAACACTGGCAAATCTGCCGTCAATGTCAATAGCAGGCGTACAAAAAAAAAAAAAAATGTGTACTCTTCCTGGGCCTCACCCAAGCTTGGCCCACACAATACCCAGCCAAAAGGGGTGGAAGACAGCCCAAGAGGGTCCTCTCAGTCAACTGAGCTCCAGTCGTGTTACACCCTCCTGGATGTTGCCACCTACTATCACCAAGGATACAAAAGTTCAGGTCTCCTTTGCGTATAACTCTAGGAACATTTCTAGGGTTGGCTTTTGTTTTTTTTTCCAAAGCAGTGTGGGCTGAATGCCAGTGGAAAAGCAATGGAATATCGATTTTCTGTTCCTTGCTAAGGAGAGAACAAGTCATTTGATGTGCCATGAGTTACATGAGTAAAAACAGACCCTGTACTCCCTACAGCTGGCTGAGTTTCTCCTCTATTCATAGAACCTGGCACATGGTAAAAGCTAAACAGATATCCGTTAAATAAATGAAAGAACCATGCGTGCATTTATGAAGGCCTGGGACGTGCCAGGCACCCACTTTGGATTCACATCTGCCATCTTCCCTCCACCTCACTCTGCCATCCTGGCCTCCTTCTCTTCTCTCCTTTATTCTTTTGTGTTTTCTGTTCCCATGTCCAATCTCCTCTTTAAAGTGGAGCCCACTGGCAATGACTCCAATCAGCACTTACCAGAAAGGAAGACAAAAAGACTGGAAGAGCCAAAGGCAGGAATGGGGGGATCCATTATGAACAGAGAAAAACATGGGGGGGGCGGGTGGCAAAAATGTTATACACACCAGGGATTTAATGCCCCACTCAAAAGACAAAGTCCCTAAACCACAAATCCTCCAACAAATGTTAAGTCTTTGAAAAGAGAACAAATGTGGTAACATGTCTTTTGCCCTAAACAGGTATCACCATCCACAGCCAGCCAATATTAATAACTAGAAAAAATATAACCCATGCTATGATTTCAACTCCTAGAGATCCACACACAAAGGGTGTCTGGAAAAGCAATATTAAAATGCAATTGGGCATCTCTACATAGGGACTGGGCGGCTGGAGGCCTGAGACCACCTTGGTAGATGCTCGTAGACATTCTTTGCCCCTGTGTGGGTCTGCTGCCTGCTCGTTTCACATCTCTGATTTGCAATTTAAGGTTCACTAAATCTTCAGTCTTCAGAAGCATTTGCCCATGGCAGATGTAAATTAAGTTTCAATCAACTCAAAACCATCCAAGCTGGCTCAAAGAGACATGTTATTTTCTTCACTGGAGTTAATCAAGTACTGAACACCATGAACATATCCAATCTCTTATGCGGAAATATCTTTGCATCAATTGGACAAGCTATATTAACTGAACTTCTTCAGCCAAACTCTTTAAATTATCCTTAAAATATAATGACAAGTATTAAATATTCCAGGTTGTACATTGAAATGTGCATGCACATTTTATGAAGAAGGAACTTCATGTTGACATATCGTTAATTTTTGTATTCTCACATGTAATAAGTCATACCCAAGGATGACTATTCAATCTTGACACATTAAAGACAAGGGAGAGGAAGGTGATAACATATCAATTTATTTTGCCATCTAAATAGCACTGCTAATTACTGAAATAATTACAAAAAAATGACACAAACTGGTGATGAGATTTTTTTTCCATTCAGTTTATGAATACTCCAGGGAATACTTTTCCCCTAAGTGGCAAGCTTTAAAACAAAGAGAACTAGAGGCATATATTTAGTCTCTTAAAATTATTTTAAAATAAGTCATTCAAGGGTACAAATAACCCAAACAACTTCAAAGCTATACAGATTGTATATTCCTAATCCAAAAAATCCAAAATGCTGCAAAATCCAAAAGTGTTTGAGTTTCAACAAGCCATCCATGAGGGAAATCCCACACCTGATCTCATGTGATAGGTCACAGTGAAAGCATAGGCATGCTAAAAATATTACATAAGATTACTTTTGAGCTATGTGTATAAGGTATATGTGAAATATAAATGAATGCCATAGTTGGACTTGGGTTTCATCCTTAAGGTTGGTATCTCATTATGTAATGACACATATTCCAAAATTCAAAAATAAAATATCAAAATCCAAAACACTTCTGGTCTCAAGCATTTAGAAAAAGGGATATTCAACTGTAAACTAAAAAGTTCTCCACATCTACATTTTTAAGAGAAAAGCAAAAGACCAATAAGAATACAAACATAGGGAAAGAAGAAAACCAAGTAATATATAAATGAGATAGGGTTTATTTACTTGGCTTGAACCAATACAAACTCTTAAGAATGTTTCTGGTTTTATCAAGTTTTCATATCCACTCTTTTTTACCTTGGTACAACAATCCTACAAAAGAGGCAAGGTTTTGGCACAGTTATTTCAGGATGGAATGGGGTCAAAGAGGTGTCAAGTGAATTCTCCAAAGCCATGCAGTTAGGGAGAACCTCAGCATTTGAAATCTGGTCTTCTGAATCTAAGGTCTGCAGTCCTTCCTGGCCTCACATTGCCCAGCCATGGACACAAGCTTCATAGTATCAGTGGTCCAGTCTAAAGGAGGAAGTCCCCCACATCTTTTTGGATTTACCAGATACACATGAAATCAGCCTCCCATTAAAAATACCCACTTTATAGATATATTACTTTGGATTGAGCACTGACCTATCCTAGCAGCTCTTTTTAAAATACAATAATTCCTGAAGGGAGTTGTGACTTAGGTTTCCAGCATTTGGGTCTGAATTCATTTGTCAGAAAGGCCAGTTTTTTGAATGCTGAAAAATCATAGAAAAGTGGGCCGGGGATGTGGCTCAAGCGGTAGCGCGCTCGCCTGGCATGCGTGGGGCCCGGGTTCGATCCTCAGCACCACATACCAACAAAGATGTTGTGTCCGCCGAGAACTGAAATAAATAAATAAATAAATTCTCTCTCTCCCTCTCCTCTCTCTTTAGGAAAAAAAAAAAGAAAAAAGAAAATCACAGAAAAGTGATGTTGCTTTGCTTAGATCCCAGTGCTGTCCACGAACTACCTCCTAGGAGCTGGAAGGAAATTCCCAACCAAAAGCTACAGGCATTTGCAGGTATTGAGATTAATTCACTATAGCAACCTTCTCTGGCACTTGAGTAACCATGCAACCTTAACTCTCTGACCCAAGGTCTTCTGTGGCCCTTCTCTTTCTGGATCACCAGGGGGCAAACCCAGCTAAACACAGGCACACAGGTATCTTTGTCTCCCTTGCCTGGAGAAGCAGGAAGCCAAGAGGTAATGCCCAACATCTGGATGTTCACCTCTAGAGCATCTTTGAGTCTTCTAAACAGCTTAAGTTCCAAATCCTCAGAAAACCAGAGACTAAGAGGCAATCTTCTTTTCAGAGAGTGCACTCAGTTATATCTTTTGCCAAGCAAACTTGTTAAACCTTGGAACACTCTCTCCAATAGGCATCAAGGAACATTGCTGGTCTTTGAACCCTGACCTGTGTGTTTAACCTTTACACCGCAATAATCCACTGGAATGGTGCTGGCACAGATAGACTACCCCCATGTTACAGGCAGACCACATCACATCAGGTTTGAGCAGATGGAGTTACTGGGGAGAAGGGAGGGAGTGCCATTTGACTGGAGCCATTCTCAGGAAAATGCTGGCACATTTCTGTCAAGGGTAATCTAAGAAGCTAAGAATTGAAAAAATAATGATTTAATCTAAAATGCTACAACCCTGAGTATTTCTGATCTCATGGTTTGTATCAGCGATTACTCCTTGATCATAGCCAAATCATAAAACATGTGGACATTCCTTTTTACAAAATTAAAGTCACGATGCCAAAGCCCCTATTTCCTCCAAGGATTGAAGGTGTTTTCCAAAAAATAAGGTCACTCAAATGACAGTATCTGAAATTCTTTTTATTTACCCTCCAGTATTTAAAAATCCAAACTACATATAACATTTTACTTGTTATGCTGCATACTGGGAAACAGCTGAAATTTTGGACGATTCCAGTTCATATGGTAATGGTTCTAGCTCTGTGTGGAGAACATCTACCAGGGTTTAAATTTTGAGGAAGGGAATAAAACTATTTTCAGTTAGGATCAGACTTAGCATCCGCCTGTCAAGAAGATCAGGTAAGTTTAATTTAATGTTTAACTTCACAATGCATAGGGGAAATACTTTCCAATGTTCTCAAACCTATATACATCATTAATAGATGTTCTAAACCACTGCTAAGCCTGCATATTAACTGGAGAAGCAGGACAGAAAGCCCCACTGATAGTATTCTAGAAAACAATCAGGCCTCAAGGATGGAGACTTCTGATTGCTATTTTCAGAAAGATTTAAAAACTATTAATGTAGGGCTGGGATGTGGCTCAGTGACAGAATGCTTGCTTGGCATGCCTGAGATCCTGGGTTCAATCCCCCAAAAAAAAAAAAAAAATTAAATAAATACACACACACACACACACACACACACACACTCACTCCAGAACAAAACTCCTACTTCCCATTCCTCTCTTACTATCATTTTAAAAATGTTTTTCATTTGTTGATAATATGTGTAAATTAATTACATAGGTTCTGCCATATGAGACAGCTCAAATTGAATTTTTTTCCCTAGTTCCTGATCACAGGTGTGACCAAGTCATTAATACCTCAGCTGAGTGCAGGGAAATCTTGGATGCACAGTATGGTTCTGTACAACACTGGTATGGGCACTGACACTGTTGTTACTCTGAGTCAGCCCTTCCCAAATGCCAATAAAGGCTGCAGGTAAGAGGTGAACTGCATTTCAGATTTCAACTTCCCCAGGGTAGCATCAGTCCTTTCAAGTGGCCTCTGTAGGATCCACCCCCTATGTGGACAGCCCAACTTTGACCCATTTTGTGCAGGGCTGCTGTGGACATTGCAACTTACGTTTGGTGCACCTCTGGGAACCAGGGGCCTTACTCCAGCCATGGCAGCACTGCCCTCCACAGACATTGACCCTGAAACAAAGCAAGATCCCTGAGTCCAGCAGCAGTAATACTCCCTTCCCAAGTACCCAAGTTTCCAACAGGTTCCTAAAAGGCCAGCCTCCTGCTACCACACTCCTCAGATAGAAGAGGGTCCTAGTAGGTTTCTAGGATGACCAGCTCAAAGTTGCCCAAGTAGAAAGTTAAGGACCATATATCAGAGAAGGGTAGAAGAATCAAAAGGCCTGCTTAACTTTCAGCTATTCAGAGAGGAGACAAGGTCCAAAAAAATGGTTGTGTTAACCCCAAAATTAAAGTAGAGCCAAACATTCTGCATATTATCTGGGGCCAATTTGAAACAGTTTCAAAAAGAAGTGTCAAAAAAAGAGTGAGGTCACACCACCTGGAATCATCCTTGAAGGAAAAAAGTCAAATAAGCAAAAAGTTTTCCCCATCCCAACTTTGTGATTAATGAGGAGGATCGGCTGTACAGGGCGGATACTTCCAGCAACCAGTAACAGAAATTTTCCAAATCAAAATTCTGTCGATGCTAAGACTCCACCCTCACCCCAGCAGAGCAGACCCCACAGGTGCAGGGAAGCGCAAGCTCACAATTTCTGAGATGCCCAAAAGTTCTAGGCCACAGAACAGGAGCTGGATCTTTACAGCCAATCCTCCCTCAAAACATTTATTTTCATTAACTCGACCAAAATTGAAACTGAGTTGCAGAGACGTTTAATTGATGCTGTGGGATTAAGCTGAAGTGACTTCATGCTTACGCCCATCTTCTAGGAGTAGCTCGGGTTGCGCACGGGAGGTTACGCCCCGGGCAGCCATGCCTTTTGTGTTTGCCCGCAGCTCAGTAACAATGCACTCCAGAGTTTAACTTCAGTAAAAGTGCTAGGGCTTCCCGGCACCCCGCGCTTCTCCGGGCTCTCCAGGCGGGAAAGAGAAAGTCTACCCACCGCTCACGACGCCCTCAGCCACCGCAGGGCTCCGAGTGGCCCTGACCCCGCGGTCCCGGCGCGCGCTAGGCTGGGATGTGGGCTTACCCCTGCAGCTGCTGCTTCTGGTGAACCTGCAGCCTCGAGCCCGCGCCGCTCTGGGTCTCCTGCGGCACTTTGGAGCGCACGACTTGCCTGCCTGGTTTGGTGAACGGGGCGGCCGCCGGATGACCGCCGGACTTGGGGTAGAGCTGCGCGTTGGGGCCCCCGGGACGCGCGGGCTCCGGCAGTGGCGGAGG